TTTCTTTTATCAAAGCAAGGTTACATCTATGAGTTGGATGTAGAAGTGTCAGAATCAATATAGATGTTTTTTATTTTAAAGAAAATTCAGATTTTACATAGTAAAAAACTGTAAATTATAGTGTCCGTCCAAAAATTATTTTTTACTTATAGTGAAAACTACCCTTGGATGATGGGTTAGTAGACTAAAAGCTTTAGGAATCCAAAGTACAACATATAATAAGTACCCTGTATCAAGATTGATGCAAAACAAGTGACATTTGACCTTTTTAGAGAGGTTTAGCCAAAACCACTCCAAGGTTGCGTTCGAATACTCCAAAAAAACAGCTCCTAAGTTCTAACCCTATCGTCTATTCCTTAACCTCGGAGTGGAACGTCATGGGGTTAAGGGAGAGTGGATAGGAGAATTCAAAAGGACTTAGGAGAAGAGACTGCGGTACTTTAGAGAATCCGACTGCACTTTCACTATCCGACGTGTTTATGATGCGCCAGCGGAGGTCATAAATGTGCGCCTGCTGCTGTGGGGAAACTATGGAAACTACAGTTTTCTATACAGCGGACTACAACAGGGATGTTTAATAAGAACGAGGGACTACTGTAAACTCATCTAGAGACTCTGCACCGTGCTCTGATGCTGTTATGCTTTATGAACGGGGACAACAGAGAAACATATTCTTCATGACCAAAGTTGGAATTGAAATAAAAAAGGAAAGTGAAACTTATGCTCGTCACCCTCTCCCTCCGGTCCACATTAATACAAATGATCCCAATACGTATGATTGTGTGAACTATGAAAAGATCTTAAAATAAATACAAATGTATTTATTATAAACGTTAGTTCTTAACATCTATCAATGTGTATATCACCATTCAAACATCTTTTTAAAAGTTGAACAAACCCCACACAGCTTAGTAAAGACTGTGAAATGTTGACTTTATTTGATCATTTCAGTCAAAACTAACGTTCACATTTCCCTTTTTGATTATAATACTGATGAACGTTCAAAACAAAGCACTTTGGCAACTTACCACATACGTTTTGAACCGTAACTTTCATGATATCATTTCTCGTTCATAATCGATTGTTTCCGTGAACGACCGGACATTCCCTCGGCTTAAATGCCGCGGCCGCAAGGCATTGTGGGGCAGCATTTTCTCCTCTCATGTCGGTTAGGGAGGTCCAGTGGTTCCTAAGCTAAAGGAGGTTATAAAGGAAGTTTGAAACCTCCTTTCCTTTCATTTTAGAGAATTCGAACGGCACTTATCATGGCTGCCACTGAGGGACTTCCGGGTCATTTCACTCCGTTAGGAAGGTTCCTAAGCTAAATGGACTATTCGACCGCAACCCAACTCTGAGGTGATTTGGGTGAAAATGTTTTTTTTTCCATATCTCTGGCCCCCCTTGCTCGATTTGGATGGTTGACACCTCTTTCTGACCGTTAGAGCCAATAGAATGGAAGGGGGAGGCCCCCACACACACACGTTGTGAAGAGAAGAGGTGGGGGCTTCGCGCATGTAATTTTGCGTCAGAGTGGACCTATCTCTAGCTCTGACATTTGGAAACGAAAAAGCAGTTTTATTGCTTATGGATTATCATAAATCATTTCAAAGAGGGCACAGACACATTGGATTAGCCTATGGATTAACTGCAGCATCGTTTTTTTATCGTTTTAATGCCATTGAAGACCAGTTTTGACCAAGGTAAGCCATGTTAGCGTTTCTAGCTACCTAGCTCCACATGTTCTGATGTACGCTTTCGTTTATAGCGTCGCAAATGTTTATCACTGAGTGTTGAGGTTTTTTACACAGATTCAGTGTCTCCAGGAGATGCTAAACGAGGGGTTGGCTGTGCATCTAGGATAAGTAATAAGGGAGTTATGAGTGAGTTTAGGTGCAGTTTTAGGTTACATTTTTTCACTCGTGGGTAATTCAGAGGCTGAGTGTTAGCATTGTGGGGTTTTTTTGGAAAAAAAATGTTAAAAGATCAGTTAGCTGAGTTTCTTCCCGTTACATGGATATAAAACATTCATAGTTTATTAAATATTAAGATTCCTTAGACGTTGTTTCCTGCAAATTACGCGTTTATCCGCCTGGTACCGGGGGGGCGGTGCGTAACAGGTTAATACAAAAAACTTTAATTGTGTTTCTTTTTTGTAAAGCTCTTTTAGTTTTAAAACCTGTTGTTTATAAGCTTCTTATTGTTTGCAACAGTCTGTAAATATACACAACTTTATAAAATAATGCACACATTTACCGTTTTCTAGACTAAACATGGGTATGATCCTGAGTTAAAAACAATACGAGGGAACAGGAAGTTTTTAACATCTGTATGAAGATATTAAACATCTATCTTGTTGTTCAGTAAATGTTTGAACTGTTTGTAAGCAGCGTGTTTCCTGATGGACGCACACACGTTGGTCGGTCAGGTGGAGCAGCAGGTGAAGTCAGGTGATGCAGACTCTCTGTTGGATAAAACACTCGTTGGTTTGGAACAGCACTTAAAGGTCTCCTATTGTACTATTTTTAAACATATTTTATAGGTCTCAGATATAAAAAATGTCTATGAAGTGTTTTGCTCAACATACCAAACAGATCACCCATTCTAGCCTCATCCCCCTCTATTTGAGCTGTTACTAAAGTGATGATTCTGGGTCTGTAGCTTTAAAAAAAAAAAGAAAACAAAAAGAGAGCTCATGCAGGAGAATTATTCTCAGCTAAATGTTGCCGTGATTAATCGCCATATTATGTTCCAAACCACATCAAGCCTCTGAATCAGCACTAAGCGAAAGAGTGCTAACGCACCTAGCACATAACTCACGGTAGCGATATTTTATACGTCATGCAATCTGCACAAACTATGTGAAAGCTGAGATTCCACAGATTCCAATGGTATAATTATCACCCCTGTGCGACCAAAACTCACGGCAGCGAAAGCCAGGAAAGACAACACACAACTTCCCTTTACGGGCCAAAACGGCAAATACGTCTTACCTTTGATGTTTTCTGATCAAAAGTTGTGTTCAATGGCATTAAAACGCATATAAACGCTGCTGAAGGTTAATCCAATGTCTCTGTGTCACTTTGAAATGATTACTGATAATCCATCATAACATTTATGGAGCTTCCGGTTTTGGGCATGCGCATCACTCTCATTCACCAATGGTAATGTTTAGATGGATTTAGGAACTTCCCCTCGATTCTATTGGCTCCAACGGTTAAAAAGTGGTGTCAATCATCAAAATCGATCGATTGAAAAAATGAATGTCGATAAGCCTCCAGTAGAGAAGAGAGGCAGTCTATCAGCCTACCTGAATGCGCGCACAGGCCCACAGTATATAAGGCGGCTACGCCTCCCGACTGTCATCGGGAGGCGAGCAGCAAACAACTGAAAAGCTAAACGTGACACCACTCCTTGAGCCCCGGGCTTGCCCTACATGTCCTGGCTTAATTGCGGGCGCTGATTCCCACCGCCTTTGTTTCGAGTGTTTGGGGCCTGACCACGCTGTGGATGGCGTAAAACATTCCCCGTCCTGCAATGCCTGCCGTTTGCTCCCGCGGCTCAGACGCCAGCATCGTCTGGAGCACTTCCAGGCACACTATTTCTCGCCAGACGAGGTGCAAGACCAGGAGGAACTCGATGTGGTGGAGATGGAGGACCAGGAGGTGGCCGGGGAGGTGCCGTTCTTATTCGCCATTCCGGCAGGCCGGGCGGCCCCGTTTGTCGAGGAGGAAGAAGACAAGGACTTCTCGGTGTCGGGCGTTTCTGGGTCCGGCGTCCATGAGGGACCACCGCGCAGGTCTGCCCGTCAGGATTTCTCGTTGGTGATGGCCATGGCGGCGGAGCGTGTAGGACTACCGCTCCCCCCACCACATAACCCCAAAGTCAATAGAACTAGCTAAAACCCTAAAACTAAAGTCATCGGGTCGGGTTGCGGATCTTGTGCCGACGGGTCGGGTCGGGTTGCGGAACTAATTGGCAATATGTGCGGGTAGCGGGGCGGGTTCGGTATTGCACGTTGCGGGTGCGGGGCGGGAGCGGGTCTTGAAAATCAGACCCGTGCAGGACTCTGCCCTGAAGTCATCAGAACTAGCTAAAACTGTAACATAACCCTAAAGTCATCAGAACTAGCCTAAACCCTAACCCTAAAGTCATCAGAACTAGCCTAAACCCTAACCCTAAAGTCATCTGAACTAAAGTCGACATTTCCTGTAGCTCTGTTGTATTGATCTCATCAAGCTGTATCTATTTTCTGCTCAACTCAGTGTGACGAACCAACAGTCTTTATTTCAGCTTCATCCAAACTAAAATGAGTTTTGTTGATTCCACCAATGCAGTGAACACAACACATCAGTACAGCAGCATGTCTACTGTTCTGTTTAACAGCGGCTGACACACACGATGAAAACTGTTCTAACGTTACCTTCTGATGCTGAAGATAATCTGCATCAAGCAGAGTGAAGGTGAGATGAATCAGCAGCTCCAAACAGGAAACCAAGCAGAGACAGAACAAATGTTTAAATGCAGGCAGGAGGTTTCCACAGCTCTACTGATTCACATACAGTCTAACTCTGTGAATTCATCTTCAGCTGAAATACGATCACAGGGCACATCTGGACTTTGGAACCAACCAACAACAGGAAGCAACTCAAGTCAAACATTAACAGACAGCATAGAACATTATCATCTGCATCATAAAGGTTTACAGTTTCATCCTCAGAGACTTTGATTTTCCACACTGTAATACAACGAGGCAAAGGGCCATCTCTTACTGCATTCTAATGTTGTCTTTAAAATATAGTCTGTCTGTCTGTCTGTCTGTCTGTCTGTCTGTGTGTGTGTGTGTGTGTGTGTGTGTGTGTGTGTGTGTGTGTGTGTGTGTGTGTGTGTGTGTGTGTGTGTGTGTGTGTGTGTGTGTGTGTGTGTGTGTGTGTGTGTGTGTGTGTGTGTGTTTTAACGCGTTATTAACGGTAACTTGACAGCCCTAGAATAAACAAAAGATAAAAGATAAAATAATTGTTTTTATTAGAAGTCTTTAGAAACATAACAAATATAGGACAGTACAACTCTCATTACATTACAGAATTGTTCAAATGTTGCTCATCATTTGATGAACAGAATGTGTTTTCTCAATCAAAACAAGAACAAAAAAATATTCTGTGGATCATTGCAGTCAGCATCTCGTTTCACACAATTCCATGTAGAAATGTTACATAGTATATCAGTATATGTATATATAAGTGTGAACATGTTGACTCTCAGACCTGCAGAGGACAAAGAGACACCGAAGAGGAATCAACACAAAACGAGAACCCTGACCCAAACCCAGCATAGAGAGGTTCAGTGAATGTGGTTCTGAAGGTGTGGAGGTGGACCAGTGTTTCAGAGGAGACTCTGTAGAAGGAGAGAGAGCCAGCAGGAAGATCCAGATACACTGCTACTCTACCAGAGGGTGAGCAAAACCCTTCAGAGACATGTTTTTTATATCTGAGACCTATAATATATGCTTAAAAATAGTACAATAGGAGACCTTTAAGTGCTGTTCCAAACCAACGAGTGTGGAGGGGGAGTGTTTTATCAAGAGAGTCTGCATCACCTGACTTCACCTGCTGCTCCACCTGACCGACCAACGTGTGTGTGTCCGTCAGGAAACACGCTGCTTACAAACAGTTCCAACATTTACTGAACAACAAGATAGATGTTTAATATCTTCATACAGATGTTAACAACTTCCTGTTCCCTCGTATTGTTTTTAACTCAGGATCATACCTGTGTTTAGTCTAGAAAACGGTAAATGTGTGCATTATTTTATAAAGTTGTGTATATTTACAGACTGTTGCAAACAATAAGAAGCTTATAAACAACAGGTTTTAAAACTAAAAGAGGAGGTTTACAAAAAAGAGAAACACAGTTAAGGATTTGCAGTCAGTTTCTGTCGTCAGGAGAGACTCTCAGACCTGCAGAGGAACCAGAGACACTGAGGAGAGACTCTCAGACCTGCAAAGGAACCAGAGACACTGAGGAGAGACTCTCAGGGTGTTTCTCAAACGCGAGTACGCTTGCTTGGTAGCACATGTCTGCCGAGCATCTTGCTTCAGAAGCGAGGCAAGAATATTTCCTGGCATTCGGAAAACAAAGAGTGGAACAGGCTAGCAAGTGTGCAGGTGTGCGTCATATGAGAGGCCCCGCCTTACATTTTCCGTCACAGATTTGGGGAAATTGGTCCGTGTGCAAAGCATTGTGGGGATTTTAAGACCGCGGAGTCTACTCATGTGCAGCCTCGATATCTCTCTAAACGGAATACGCCGGGCTCGGTAGATTTCCAAGTATGCTGGAGATTGGAACAGTACTTCGGCGGCTCTCGATGACGTAGTATGCTTGAAATAGTGGCTCTGCAGCAGCTTTACTCGCGATTGAGAAACACCCTCAGACCTGCAGAGGAACCAGAGACACTGAGGAGAGACTCTCAGACCTGCAGAGGAACCAGAGACACTGAGGAACAAGGTGACCAGAATCCAAACCCAGCATAGAGAGGTTCAGTGGATGTGGTTCTGAAGGTGTGGAGGTGGATCAGTGTGTCAGAGGAGACTCTGTAGAAGGAGAGAGAGCCAGCAGGATGATCCAGATACACTGCTACTCTACCAGAGGGGGGGGAGGATGAGGAGGAGTAGAAGGAGAAGGGGGAGGGGGAGTAGGGGGAGGAGGGGGAGGAGGGTGATGAGGAGGAGGAGGTGAGTGTTTTTCTCTTATTGTGACAGACATAGTCACCATCACCCAAGCAGCGCAGTCTCCAGGACTGATCATTCCCTCCAAACCTACAGTCCTCACTGTCTCCTCTCCTGCTGATTCCTCTGGAAGTCACTGATATATAAACCCCTCCGCTCCACTCGACCTCCCAGTAACAGCGACCAGTCAGAGCTTCTCTACACATCAGCTGATACCAGAAGTCAAACCTCTCTGGATGATCAGGATATGGCTGCTCCTCTCCCACACATGTCACCTTCCTGTTGTTGTCAGACAGTTTGAGGTTCACGTGTGCTGTGTGTGTGTCCAGCTCCAGTTCACAGACATCTGATGGAGAGAACAGCTGCAGGTTATCATCTGTTAATTTATTAACTACTTTACTGACAATCACAAATCTTTCAAACTGACGTCTCATATTCGCTGTGAATCATGTCTGACAACCTGAATTTCCACAGTGCAGTTATAACAACATCAACAGCTGCTGAACATGAGTCAGCATGTCGGTAAGCATTTCACAAAACAACACAGCATTTCACAAAAAACGACAGCGTTTCAAAAATTACGGAAAGGGTATTCCTTTAGGGAGAACACTCCAGCCGGAGAAGCACTGCTGTGATTGGTTGTTTCGCTGCCAGTCAAGAAATGTAATCGCGGTAAAATATGTTCATTTTGTTGTAGTTGGTATCTACCATATACCATATTCATATACCATATTCATATACCATATTCATATACCATATTCGCATCGCTCTAATCGCACGAGATTCACCGCGGCTATCAGCTGTCTTTACTTGCATCATTCAAACAAGACGCGTTGACGAGGGGGCAGGGTTTATATCCATGTAAATACTATGGTAGGTACCAACTACAACAAAATTAATATATTTTACCATGATTTAATTGTAATACACGTTTCAAAATGATGCCGAAGTAACAACATACTGATACCGATTAGTAAAAACCATGAATTAATGCTTTGACAAGTGTGCAGACAAGACAGCAGGTGAAAACCTTTTAAAATGCGTGTTTTTCTGAATGAACATCAGATCGATCAGGCTAAGCTAACGTTGTTTATGTTCCGTCCAAACTCACAACGTCATACAGACAGAAATAAAGCAGCGACTGTACTCGCCATGACACAGACAGTCTGTGGTTTGTACTTGTTTAACTTTTGTCCAGTTTCTGAACAGATATGAGGAGTGAAGTAAAAAGATATGATTCTACACTGTATTGAAGTAAACATGTATTATTTTGAATTGTATTTTAGTGAACATGTATTGGTTGAACTGTTTTATGTAATCACAACGGTTTTGGGTAATTATATATAGAAAGGATATTCTTACTTTCAAACTCACTGACCCAGAGATTCTGTTTTCACACACACACACTTGGCCTTTTCACCCCTAAAAACCAGATGTCGTCATTAAGGTCGTTAAAGACAACATTACATCGCTCCTTATCACCCCTAAGAACAGATGTATTCAGTCCTGGACCTAGAGCAAAAATAGTGTTTGAGAGAGGCGGGTAGGTCAGTCCCGGCCCTTCACTCACTAAATACGAAGAATGCAAGGCTGTAAAAGATGTATAGGTTAAATTCCCCGTAAGTCAAAATAACATTGATTAATACGGTTACTTTGCAGTGCTTCTATTAAAGACTACGAAGGTGTAAAAAACAGAAGGGTTAAATTCCCCGCAGATCATGATAAGATTGATTAATGCGGTTACCTTTCGTGGTGCTTTAAATGTATAACATTTCTGTAATTGTTATATGGTGGGTGATAGAGGAGGAGAGAGACGCGACCTCCAACTAATTATTTGGAACGACCGAATCTCATCACAAAACTGCTGTGGGGTTGATCAGGCTCATTAAACGTGACGATAAAGAGATTTTGTTGACTGAGTTTTAACTCCTGGCCTGAAGCCGCAATCGCCGTGAGGGGATTGTAGAAGCTTGCTTCTGGAAGTCACGCTATCTGTTGAAATATACATCGCACAATAAAAATTTGCCTGACTGTACTGTGTGAAAATATGAAAAACTCTGTGTGATTTTTTTAAGTCAAATCTGTGTAATACTTGAGAGAAAAATCCAGTAAAAAGAACTGTGGGTAAAGAATTGCAGAAGACATAGAGACAGAGAGCAACAAGCAGGTGGTATAATGTCTGAGACCCTACCTCCCCCCTACGGAGATGATAGCTCACAAATGCCACTTATGAGTATCCCATCTAATACTCCTAAAAGAAAACACATTGTTAGACCTGATATTCAGGGAAAAGGAATGTTGGAAATAGTAATGGCAGATATTGAAAATCTTAAACTGGATCAACCAACCATGTTAGTGAACCCTGCTAATATGGAGCTAAAACATGTAGGAGGAATAGCAGCAGCTCTGGCAAAGAGAATAGGTCCTAGCATGCAAGCACAGAGCGATAATATGATAAGGACTATTAAACTGACCCCTTTTGGAAATGGGATTTTCCGTTACACAACAGAAGACTCAATTCAGGCCTTAAAGAACGCTTTACAAACAAGTCAGGGAGAGTTAAATGTGGTGCTATGTTGCTCATGAGGGAGCTTACACTTTTGGGAAGAGATCTCCCCCTTTCTCTGCTCCTGAGGTGCTGCAGACTCACAGCAGCACCCAGGGTCAAAGACAGGCATGACCTCTGGAGAGGAAGAAAATCTAAATCTGAACAGACCACAGAGCCCATTAAAAGGTTTTATGGCCTCAACACAGAGAGGAAGATCTGGAGATTGTAAGGAACTCTCCCAAACTACCTACCCCCACCCCATCACAAGGGGAAGAGTGTTCCTCTCACCAATAAACAAATCATCTCTTAACCAAGTCAGATTTCAAATAGCCATAGCTCCAGTTGTTAAGAAAAGAGGGAGATTCAAAAAGTTATCCTTTTATTACAAAGGGAAACAATGAAACCCTTACAGAAAACCGCTGCTCCCAAAATAACTCTGTTTACAGATGGGAGTCTGCGAAAAGGTGACCAAGCAGCCACTTGGGCCTGTATAATGAAAACTAATTCAGGTGAAGTACTTTGCAAGCAAAAGGGTGTAATTCCAGGAACAGCACAAACTGCTGAGGCAAATGCCATTGTTGAGGGACTTCTTTTTGCTAAAAACCGTAAAATAACACACATCCGTTTTGTTACTGATAGTGATTATGGTTACAAAGCAGGTAAAGAAGAGCTTGATTATTGGGAACAAAGGCAGTTTACCAATGTGAAAGGTGAAGCGCTGACACATGCCCATCAATGGAGTCTTATTGCAGAGTTAAGGGCGGCATGTACCTAGAGTGGAATCATGTTCGTAGCCATACAGATAAGATCTATTTCGACTATCAGGGAAATAGAGAAGTTGATGCGCTTGCTCAAAGCAGGAGACGAGTTAACCACCTGACTGCCATATTTCCTAGTATATGGAAAAAGGGTGGAAGCATTCATGTACCTCCTGAAGTAGACACAGGACATTAAGAGTAAAGCAATGATTGCACAGTATATTAAATAAATACAAACGAACACGTATCAATATAAGTCAGATAATATAGACGAGGTCAATCATGGAAGAAAGCTGACATTTAATGCCTGATATATAAGTAATAGTAATAATAAATATATAGCTGATATTAAATAACTGATGTATAAGGCTCGATATTTCTGAAAATAAGGACACCGTTAACGGCGTTCTATTTCAGAAAAAGGGGGAAAAGGATAGGATATACATCAGACAATATGTATGTGAGATTATTACGTTTTTAGGAGAAATTTATCAATTTAAAATATTAGCTTTGGCGATTTTTTGTTTTGTTTTGTTTGTTGCTTTTAAGAGAAATTGATACATTTGAAATAATCTAGCTTTGGTTATTTTTTGTTTTGTTAGTTTGTTCCTTTTTTGTTTTATTTTTGTTCTATTTTTTATTTTTTATTTTTTATTTTTTATTTTTTATTTTTATTTTTTGTTTATTATTTTCTGCATAGTCTCTTGTCCACACTCCAGTCTAGTTGGTGCCGCCAATAAACACTAAAGAAGTAGAAGAGATGATTTCAAAACCATATTTCCAGCAACTTAAGGGCTTGGTATGAGACTTCTCCACACAGGTTGCTGATGCCAAAAGGGGGACCCGAGAAACACAAGGCCAACACAGCAGATTACGTCTGGTTGGAGGGGACCTCCCATGCCGTCCGCCTAGATGGAAAGGGAGACAACTGGTACCACTGGAGCCAGTGTGCGGTCGGGAAAAACAGCCGCGAGGACCCTAGACGACATCAGGACAGATTTGGCCCTCGTCGCGAGGACCCTAGACGACATCAGAACAGATCTGGCTCTCGTCAAGGCAGTCGACCCAGGAGGCGCCATCAGCAGACCGGAGGAGGAGGATCAGGACATCTCTCCAGCAGTCGACCCGGAAGCCGCCATCAGCGGGCCGGAGGAGGAGGATCGGGACATCTCTCCAGCATCGACCCGGAGGCCGCCATCAGCGGGCCGGGCGGAAGACAATCAGGCCACATCTCTCTAGCAAGCACCCCAGAAGCCGCCGTCAGCGGGCTGGGGGGACGAAGACATGGCAAACCAAGACGGCACAGGGAACTCCATTTCCCGCTGAAACAGGTTGATATAGCCGGTGTGGAACTTTGTCTGAACAATCCATTTTTTGGAGGAACTTTCAACTTTATTTTTATATCCCATAATTTAAGGGATTTGTATTTTTTATTCTACAGAACTATGTGTTACCAAAAGAGGGAAAAGTTTAATAATGTCTTTTCTAATTTCTGAGGCTACTTTTATTGCCATTTTGGTGACATGTGGTTGTTGTTGTGTGCCTTGTATCCGCTCATTGTGTGTTAGACTCATCAGTTCCACCATTGAGGGAAAAGCTGCCGCTTCCCCTTCGTACCAGATGCCCTTGTTGGCCTATGCGTCGGAGGGGGAAGCGTACTATGACTCAGCTGACAAGGACTTTGCTTTTTAGACATGTTTTATTCTCCCTCCACTGTCATAAGAAGTTGTTGTTGTGGACTGTTCCTAAAGGTTTAAAGTGCTCTATATCCCAACTTCTGATGGGTTTATATAAATGTTGGGACAAACACAGTAAGAAAATGACAGTGGTAATGTTTCTAATGCTATATGTTGATCTCGTGAGGTGAGATCAAAAGGGGGATTGAAGTAAAAAGATATGATTCTACACTGTATTGAAGTAAACATGTATTATTTTGAATTGTATTTTAGTGAACATGTATTGGTTGAACTGTTTTATGTAATCACAACGGTTTTGGGTAATTATATAGAGAAAGGATATTCTTACTTTCAAACTCACTGA